AATTGACCAAAACAGTATAAATTATTACACATTTGAATACACATTTATTAAGCATAAAAAGCAAAATTGTAGTGGAGATGTATTTCTTAATAAGATGAATCAAGCTTTTACAAATTATTCCATAAATCCAGGAAAAAATATTATATCTTGTTAGAATTAAATGGGGTTCAGCCTTAAGAGGATTGTTATTTTTTGTTTTTATGATTGTAAGCACTAAGAAAACTTGTTTGCATAAATAAATTTATGAGAATGGAAGAAGTTTTATTATTAAAATATCACTCAATTCCTTTTACATTTTCTGAGTTATATAATTGCATAGGGATCCATCATAAAAAAAAACTTATTTCTAATGATCTGTCCTTTGATAACTGGATTAGGTTCTCCTTCAATTTTCTTGATAGCAGTAATTTGAAAACCACATGACTCACAAAAGAATTTGTTAGCCACTAGCAGAGTTATTCACTTACTCACAAATTGGCCCAGTATTTCAATCTGGTCTTTGATTTGTTGCCCTAGTGGTTTTTACACCTCAGAGGAAAGGCCAGGGTAATATTCAGGGTAAGATTCAGGAGGCCAACATAAGCCACACTGGGATTGGAGCTGCCAACGGCTCTTCTTTCTTGTGCTTCTTCATAGAACCATACAGGCAAGAAATTGTACAGAGCAAGAATGTTATAGTCCTGCTTACACAAGGCGAGTCAAATCTTGAGATTTGTATTCAGGTCTGGGTACTGTACGTTGACAAACTGGGACATATCTAGATCATAAAGAATATTAAAGAAGATGAAAGGCAGGCCTTTGGAGAAATGGTTCAAGAAATTGTTTGTCAGGAATAGAAAAAGCATAAGAGGGCACATGTTGTCTACCCACAATTTAGAGAAGGATTAAAATTATTCAGGGTTCTGCCAAAGAGCAAAACTAACATCAATGGCCCCATCAACAGGAGGAACTTTTTTAAAAAAATTATTTTATTGAGGTCATTTTAGCTTATAACAGTGTGTAAATTTCAGGTGTACATTATTATATTTCAGCTTCTATATAGACTGTATTGTGTTCACCACCAACAGTCTAGTTTTTGTCATCATACATATGTGCTCCTTTACCCCTTTCACCCTATCCCCACCCCTCCGCCCCCCAGTAACCATCAATCTGTTTTCTTTACCTATGTGTTTGTTTGTTGTTTCTCTTCCACATATGAATGAAATCATATGATATTTGTCTTTCTCTGTCTGACTTATTTCGCTTAGCATAACACCTCAAGGTCCATTGTGTTGTCACAAATGGCACAATTTTGTCTTTTTTATGGCTAAGTAGTATTCCAGTGTTTTTTTGTGTGTGTGTGTGTGTGTGTGTATATATATATATACATCTTCTTTATCCATTCATCTTTTGATGAACATTTCAGTTGCTTCCAAGTCTTGGCTAATGTGAATAATGCTGCGATGAACATAGCGGTGCATGTATCTTTTTGAATTCATGTTCTTTGGATAAATACTCAGTAGTGGAATAGCTGGAGCATATGGTATTTCTATTTTTAGTTTTTTGAGAAATCTCCATACTGTTTTCCATAGTGGCTGTACCAGTTTGCATTCCTATCAGTAATGTATGAGGGTTCCCTTTTCCAGGAGGAACTTTTAACAGCTATCACTGCCCAACAATGCAATGAATAACCATTTGACATGATGGAGACTCCCCCCCCCCCAGACCAATGGAAATGATCAAGTGGAGACTAAATTACTTTTTCCAGTAGAGAAAAATTCTGCGTCATGCAGAGGGGTGGATCAAACGACCTGTAGAATCCCTTCCACTTTTGAGATTCTAAGTATCCTAGCCTTAGAGAAGCCAGAAGTGTTCTAGAGCTGCAGACCATGGCAGCAGGAGTAGAGCAGCATCTACACTGAAATAGTAATATGTTGTCTCTTCATAAAATGTGTTCTCAGTTACCTAACATCATGAGACATTATTTGAACTCTTTGTCTGATAGTGTGGATGGATTTGCATGGATTAACTACACTCTCCTGTCTAATCCCCTTTGTGGCCAAGGGCTTTCAGTTCTAAGACTGCTGGGTTTGGAAGTATAGTCGGTGGCTAAGGCATAGAACCAAGCCAAGCAGCCCACTTGGGGATCAAAGCAAGAAACTTGGCAGTACTCAACCAATTCTTTGACCAACCTAATCAACCACATATGTTTCCCTTATGACAATCTCAATTCAGGATGAGTGAGCTTCATTTAAACATTACACTTCATGGTAAGACCTACAGTAGCCAAACATTTATCTATCTAGGTAGGTATTTGAATGATAATCAATTCTGGAAGGCTCCAAATAGTTCCAGGTAATTTTAAAAAAGAGTATGTCTCTGGGCTGCCACTTGCTCATTTTCGGTTTACTATTTGCCCACTGCTTTTTGAGGTATTTTAATTCATGAATTTGTTTATACAACATACTTTTATGTGCAACGATTTCACTTAACCTCATCAAATATGCCACTTGATCAGACTTTGTTCCTGCATAGCTCAAGGTTATATCTTCCCCAAACCAAAGTCTCCAAGTGATAAACGGGTAATTCAGGTAATTTGAGCTTCAAAATTCATGTACAACACTTAAGATTTCACACAAATATGCTTGAATATAAATTTTAATTCTCAGTATGTTGTACTTTAATTTTTAATTCACATAAATTTTTATATAGAAATTTAACTTTGACAAAATAATGCATGCTCATTTCAAAAATAAAACCTACTGGAGTGCATCAAAGTCCTCTTCCTGCTCTCCCCATTGCTATCATTCCATTCCTCAGAAATAAGAATTATTAACTGTCGTTAACCCTTAAAGTCCTCTCAAATACACATATAAACACTGGTTCTTTAAATTATATGCTGTGATGTGACATGCACTTTTAGATTTAAGTAGTTATTTTTATCAAAATCACATATTTATAGATTTTAAAGGGTCAAGTTCTTCTCCAGAGCTGGTTGAGCAACAGTCCCCAAACAGCGGTCCCCAAATACCACCCTTCTCCCCATTTCCTGCTCTCCAGAGGCAACCACTTTAAAAAATTGTAGCTATCTATCTTGGTTTTTACAGTTATATTTCTTGGTAGTGTGCCTATATTGGTATTTTTCTTTTCAGTTTAAGCATTATTTATTGACCTCGACTCCATGTGTGTGTTTGTGTATACACAGACAAGATTCTAGAGTATTTTGAGTAGAACAGTATGTGGTATTTACATTACTACAAGTATGTATACACCACTCACATCTGAGCAATTTGGGATTTCAGGATTAGTTTTCCTTCCTTGCAACTCTTTTTGTTTTCCCTGAACTTAATAATTGTCTTTTTTGTTTATTTTGTTTGCCTGCTTGTTTTTCTATAGGCTTATCACCAATGCATTCCTAAAGTCTCCCAAACCAGCCTAAATCTAAACATAATATGCTTAAAGAGAGGTATTTCACCAACTTTTTCTGCTTAAAGGAATCTCTTTGCTAAATTGTGTTAAGGAAATACATATTTTAAAAAGAACTTTAGGTCAATCTAGTCTGACTTTTGTCATTTATACATGTAGCATATAATTCATATAGTATATGTCTTAGTCATTTACTCAGGTTGAGCATATCATACCAAACTATGATTGCATTTTAAACATCCCTCTCTGAATACTTCTTCCTATGTTGCATATTTCCAGTGCTCAATGAAATTTCATATAGATACTGAATTAAACATGTCTAAAGGGTCAATAATGATTAACAAATTTGTCTACTGTAACTTTCCTTGACTCTGTGCTTTCCATACATCTCAACAACAACAAAATATCTTGAGGAAACAGAATCTTCCAAAACTCGTGAAACACATTTGTACTCTGCCAAGCCCTTTGGGAAATCTCTTGTTGAGTTAGGAGGTTTAGAAACTGAAACTGTAGTGACCCTAACAGACAGAATTCTCACTCATCTATCTCAAACAGGTACTTAGGAGTAGTTGAAATCTTATCTTTCTTTGTCATCATCCCTCCTCGTGTCCACTCTGATCTATATCTAGCAAATCCAGTGTGCAAATAATATATATTTTCTGGCCTATGTTTTTTATCTTTCCAACCCCTTTCATTTCTCTACTTGTAATAACCAGTTGCTATTGTTGCTTTGACTTGCTTTGTAACTGCCTCTAAATCGACAGTGCTACCAGCCGTAGAGCTGCGGTGGCCTGGGGAAAGAATGGAAATCCATTCGTTCTGTCAAAAAGTTCAAGCCCAGCAACCCAATCCCCCTGAAGTGAGGTATGTCTTGGTGCACACACCATAACGAGATGGGACCGCTATACCTACTCCATGAAGTGTTTTTTACCATGAACCATAGGAGAATTCCAACAATTGCCAGAATGAAGATAAGTTATTGTGATGTGCCACTAGCTATGCATTTGGATTTTTCAAACCTTCAAATTATCTATTTACATAATAGATAAAAGAATGAAAATGAAAAAAAAATTAGAAGGTTTCACATGCATCTTGATGGTAGCCTATTTCATTTCATTTCAAAAACACTTTTTAGGAATTCCTCTGTTGCTGTTATCGACATGTGTAGATGTGTTCTTTGATTCAAGCCCCCTTCTCCATTATTTCAGTTATTCACATAATACAGATGGACGAGCACAAACTCAATCACATCTGGTTGAGTGGGTGTAGCTGACTTATGACCCAATTTCATAATTCTCTCCCCCAAGACACACCCATAAGTTCTACCCTTGCTTTAAGCATCTGTAATGTGGTTAAAAGATTTGGGTTTCCATGATGTATAAGACAATATGAAAAGTACAGTGTAATGTAGGCTGTATAATAGCCCTTGTTGAATGGACTTCATGATCAAATTTTAACAAGGTTTTTTAATAACCCAAAGCTATAAATGCTCACACTTTCATTCATAGCCAGTGGGAAGCGTCTTTATAAATTATGAGACTCTAAGCTCTCGGTCTGTTTTGATTATCATTGTACATATAGTGCCTTGTACTTGCTTGGTGCTCAATAATTATTTGTTTAATGAATGAATCATCATAAGCAATTTAGTATTAAGCAAAGTCAATAAGAATTTTTCAATTGCCTTCTCTATTGATGTACTAAACTACATCGATTCCTAAATACCAAATCCAATGGACACATATTGACTCTTATTGGTCTGCTCTGCTGAATTTCAAAATATTGATTACTCCTTTGTCCTCAGTGATTTTACTCTCTTCATGGCTTCTTCCTGCATCTGCAAGTGATGTCTGTTATTTTGTTGGTCTTCATGGGCTGCTCTTCTTTCACTCCTTAAACAGTAGTGTTCTCCAAAGTTCAAAGTTTCTGACAGCATCTGCTCTTCCCACTCTAATTTTTTCTTGTGGTCATCTTATCCAAGATCATTATAGCTATAAGAGAATGAAAAAAGAGAGGTGTGCCCAGGATGGGAATTTACTTTTCTTTCATATGACAGGTAGGACATCCTGAGCTAGTGTAGTGGCTCAAGGACTTTATGGCTGATGTCTGTTGGCCTTTCTCTCAGAGTCAATCACAATATGGCTGCTGCAGCTCCAACAGCAAAATCTGCAAATATTCAGGTGGTAGGAAGACAGGAAAAGGACGAGAGCCAGTTGAGTCTGTCATCCTTCTTAGGAGTATTTAAAGAATCTCCACTTAATAATATGAACTTACATTTCATTAGCCAAAACCCTGTCACATAGCTAAGGACACTGGAAAACATAGTGTGTTCTAATTTTAAAATTAGAGTTCTGTTAGTGAGGAAGAACTCCAACAATGTTCATATTCTGACAACTCCCAAATTACTGCTTTAACCTTGACTCCTAATCTGGATTTATACTCATTCATCCAAATGTTTATTGGACATCTACACAAAAAAGTCACAATGGCCTCTCAGATCCAGTGTGTCTAGATCCCTAAACTGTATCTCTTTCTTGTAGTTGATTTCCTTCCCTCACCATCCCACTTACATGCACTGAGTCAACCACATTTATCTTATACCTACTGTATGCCTGGTACCATGCTAGGAGGTGGCTTTACAAATATGAATGAGACATGTTGCCTCCTAAAGGAATCCACAAGCGAATGAAGTGGATTACGTCAAATGCTTCCCATATCCCCCTTCAGGACTGCCCCTCCTCCTCCCAGCTGCTAGGAGTATTGGATGCTCGCTCTTCCAGAATTGCTCTGAGCTGTAGAGGGCTTCCTTGCCTACAGTCAAACACATTTCCCAGGAGCACCTGGTTGAAGTAAGAGTGTAAAGTCCCTGCTCCCATGCCTTAAAGTGGCACAAAAATGAAGAACTATCCCAGCTCCAGAGCTTACTATGAGATCATCTGAGGCTTATGAAGTGACTGCAACACAAATTCGACTTCTCTCTCCGCACAATCTTGCTTCATTCACTCACGCACAGGTGTTGCTCCTGGGAGGGATCCCCAGTGAACTTCCGGAATGCAAACGTCTATATCAGAGTCTGTTTGCTAGGGCATCTTATGGGCAGCAGGGTACCAGGAGTGGTACTAGGAAGCAGAAACTAAAATGAAATTTTGGAGCTGGATGATTGGCAATCTATACCCCATCACTTAGGTAGTTAGTGGAGTAATGATAGTCCTGGCATGCTGTAGTACAGCTGTTACAGCTTCCACAACTGGTGACCTAGGATGGAATAACGGTGGACAGGAATGCACTGGTAGGGCAGTGTCTCTAGCCTTGGAGTAGTTTGGTGAAGTGGTTCGTGAAGAACTATTGAATGAATAGAGGATTGTTGCTTGGGGAACCAATGCACTGGCGAAAGTCGATGATAGGCTGAGGATGATGAATTAACAATTCAAGATGAAGTGTGAAAGCCAGAAGTTCTCTTCAGCAAATAAAGAGACATTCATCCTGCGACCAGAGGGCAGAAAAAGGTGAAGATCAGGCCCATAACTGAACTAGAAGAGTAGCAGAATTCGAGAGAAGGTTGAATTCTCAATCAAAGCAATTAAGCTAAACCAAGTTCAGAGTGTTAACTGGGAAAGAGTGAGACCTTGAAACTGGGATGGGGAGGTCTGGGTCAATGTATTAAAAAAAAAATCTCGAATTCCCAGATCTCTCTGTGTCTTCTGGTTCCAGACAAGTGGTCCACACCCTCGTTATGAAAGGCTAGCTCACCTTGCTCCTTGCTTGTAGATGGTGGTGAACGCCCTGCTTGGCAAGACACCATGAACCCCTTTCAGGATATACTTCCACCTCTCCTCCTGTACACAGAAGAATAACTGCAGCTAAGCCAAAACATAATATAGGTGAGGAAGCCCTAAGTCTGCTAAGAGGAAAGGGACTATAGAACAAAGAAGCTGCAGAATCTAATCAGGGGTGTAGGTAAGCTACTGAAGAAGCTGATCAAAGGTGCAAGACATAAAGTTAGAAAAGACGAACTTTGTCAGTATGGTTGCACTGTTCCATGATATAGTATTCAACACTGGTGCAAGGACCCCAAGAGCCTGGGCAAATGTGCAGGTAAGCTGGCTCTTGGAAGTGATAAGAAGTGATGGCCCATGTTTGGTGAAGTAGAAATGCCAGACTGCCATGACTGACAGTGGAAAAAGGTATTGAAAGGCTCAGAAAAGTGGCATGTTAGACTGGATACAGTGGATAAAGCTGGAGAGCCCACTAGCCGCCTCTGTTCTGTGAGATGGCCTAGAGGATACTCCATTTACCAAAGTGATAAAAAGCGCATTGGTGAGAGTGGCACCAGCATCACTGAGATGCTCAGTGATGGTTATTCTCTATTGGTGTGGACTGATGGTAGGAGACACTCTTACAGAACTTGGCTTCCTCATAGCAAGAAGATGATAAGGTCCCATGAACAACAGGGGCCAGGTGGAAGTGCTTAACAAAAGAAGCCAGGTAGGCACAATTTCATAATGAATGGCGAAGTTGGAGGGGCAGCCAGAAGACCTTGACCTGTAGAGAGCTATGGAGATGGTTGACAGAACACAGCATTCCCAGGGGCAGCAAACAACGGTGTTGCTCAATCTAGTTACTCTATAAAAAGAAATTGAGGATAGAGCATCAGAAGGCTGAAGGTAGCTCCTCCCCAAAATAGTCCTGATTCCTTTCCCGGGTTAGAGGCTGGATCGCTATTAGGAAAGACGCTGTTTCTCATCCTAATGCAATTTAATAGATCTTGTCAGTGAGTTGTGGCACAAGAGACAAAATATCCCCTATAAGCACACGCACCTCAAACTCACACACATCACAAATCATGATCCAAAAGGAGTTCTCAGCGTGAGACTTTACCTCCTGTACTCTTACTTGAAATTAAAAAAGGAAGTACAAAAAACAGAAAGAAAATACTGGATATGGTCTATAATTTCAGAGTGAGACATACTGTAGACCTCTCATTATTTTTCTTTTTTCTTTTTTCCATTATAACTTAGATTGGACTGGAGATTTCCAAAAATTGACCTTGCCAAAACAGCCACAAGTTGGATTGGTTAAATGATGTGGGGGAGTGCTGTGGATGGTGGGCTGGGATAGAGGAGTGAGGGAGGAAGTGAAGAGAAAGCAGCATTCCTTGAACTGAACTCTTTGGGATGCCTGAAAACAAAGTTTATGTATACCATGGGCTGAATCAGCAATTAATTCCTTCAAGATTCAAGTGCCTACTATGGGCCAGAAACTGTCTAGATTCTAAGCACTCAAAGTTGAATAGGCCATGGTCTATGTTCTCCTGTTGTTCCTATCAAGAAACCGAGACCAGGAAACCAAAGATTCTATTACAGTGTGACTTTGAACTGATCACAAGGAGATAGTGGTTTGGCAGTGGCTTGGCCTTGTGCTGGCTGTGTGGTTTTAGTTATGTTATTTTTCCTTTCTGTGTCTAAGGAAAATACTGTTACCTATATCAGAGGGTCATTTTTGAAGATAAAATGAAATAAAGCATATAAAGTACTTAGCAGAGTGCCCAGCACATTGTATGCGCTCTGTTAAGCTTTGCTATTAATATCGTTATTGTTGTTGTTGCTGTTGACATTACTAGTAAGTTAAGAAATACTTTGAAAAGACTGTCATCAAGTCTGCCACTGATTTAGACTCTAGCTTCTAGGTGTTAATTAGGAAACAAAAGTGCTTAAAACCATGATGGCCTTCTATTTCTAAGTAAGACTTTCAGTCCTCTACACTAAAGCATTTCCTTTTTGTTTTAATAAGGTCAAAAAACTTCTCTTTAACTGCAAAGACATACAGCATCTTTACATCTATTATCTAATTCAGTCATCCATCCTTTCGCTAATGTTCATTCATTCAAACTGCCACTTCAGTGAGTACCTACCCTCTTCTGAGCAATGGACTAGGTAGAGGAGATACCAAGATGGAAAAGACAGTCCTAGTCCTCAGGGAACACTCTCTTTTGATTCAACCACAGTGGTATGAGTTATAGATTATTATGCTCTTTTTTTAAATAGAGGACTCAAAGAGGCTAATTAATCTATCCCATGTCTTACAGCCAGAAAATGGAGGGTCAGATCTGGGGCCAAGTCCTCTGATCAACTATAAAGTCTATGCTTTTTTTCGGTGCCAGAATGGAGAGGGTATTCATGTGTAAGGAATTATCAGTCTTCTTTTGATTAAGCATACCTCTACTAGCAAATAAAATAAAAGAAACAATATCTTTGTTTATATCTATAACCTGAAGTTCCAGACATGGTGCTAAACCAGGTCACTGGGACACCCTACCCACAATGGCACAAAGAGAGATTTTAGAGAAGATTTGAAGCTGCTGTTGGTGGAATAACCAGAGACAATAATCAGGACCATTGTTCTGATCTCTGAAAAGGAACATTGAATGTAAAAAATATGAAGTTGGGCTGGCCCTGTGACCTAGTGGTTAAGTTGGTGCGCTCCACTTCAGCGGCTCGGGTTCCCAGGCATGGACATCTCCCTTTCATTGGCAGCCATGCTGTGACAGCAACCCACATACAAAATAGAGAAAGATTGGCACAGATGTTAGCTCAGGGTGAATCTTCCTCAGCAAAAAAAAAAGAAGAAGAAGAAGAAGTTAAAATAGAACAGTTATCTTAATAGACCATGAGTATGTGAATAACTGGTTAGGGAGCAGACTACATGTAGAGAAGGAACTAAAACTAAAGAAAAATCAGAAGTAAAATGGGCCTGATCAACTTAGATTTGCCAGTCCTATCTAAAATACCCTGAAGTGTTGGTCTTAAGAGAGCACCACACCACATGTGCCCAGAGCAGAACTGAGGCACCTTTGAGACCAGACAGAATCTGGATAGGTCCTAAGAAAAACTTCTCAAGAAAACAGCAAGTAAGGAACAAAATCATCTATGGTTTTTGGATTATATAAAATTTGGAGGTTTTTTTTAAAAGTTAAAAAAAAATAAACCTCTCA